GCGGTCACATTGCCATTGGGGCGCATGCGCTGTAGTTGCCACCCAAGCGCCTCCCATATCTCGACCAGATAACTCGTCCGGCTCACCGAACGAGCAGATTATCGTGGTCGATCTATCTACAATGGAGCGCGCCAGTGTAGAGTAGACTGCAAAGCCTCCCAAGTTCACCATTCTCCTCTCGTCCTCCGGCTTCGTTCTTGCACTGAGTTTGCTCTTCACACTTCAACTATTGGAATGACTGTAGAGTTACTTCGAAGTGATTGTGTCACGATCATTTTGGAGCTGTGATACATTGCACTGTTATATTCAACTTCATCCCTCTTTGAGTATTTTTGGTTAGTTTCTATGTCCTGCCTCACCTTTTGAGAATTACACTCAGCAGTAATTATTACTTGAGGCAACTATGAAACGTGCGATGTTGCATATAATATGCCTAAGGAAGTCAAAAGGACACCGAGGTTGGGACGAGACATGCCTTCGGCAAAGTACAGTTGAATCACAAGAGCAGAAAACAAGTATCTCATTACCCAACGAGGGGAGCGCTCAGTGGAATGGGATCACGATTGAGGAGAAAACATCGAAGATAACACATTAGCAAACGACAGTAGATGAATTACTCGATTAGGAGAGTCCAAAGAGTTCAGGAAAACTAACTGTTGTATCTCGAACGCTTTGGTTCTATCCCAATAGGGACATGTGGTGTGGTTTTTGTACTGCTTACAGTAATGCCAATTTTGCAGGGGAAGGAACCCTCAAGATGCGTGATCAACTTCGCTTCCACTTTTACATCCACCTTGGAGCTCCCTATCCTTCCAATTTCTGTGTGGTCAGAATCGCACGCCAAGACCATTTTCACTTTCTTTCGCGCATAAATCAACAAATGCTGGCTAATTATTTTCAAAATTTCAAACACGGTGATTGGTTCTCCCGCATTCATCAAACAGCAGAAAATCAAGGAACTTCAATGCTCATGTCAAAGCTTCGAAGAGCAAATCCAAAAAAAACCACTGGTGATGAAGCCACAATGAAACTTGAACACACCGTTTTCTGAACAAAAAAGAAACTGAACAATACTTACCCCGTATAGAAATTATTATCATCCACTGTAAGTTGCTGTGAAGTGCAATGTATCACAGCTCCAAAATGATCGTGACACAATCACTTCGAAGTAACTCTACAGTCATTCCAATAGTTGAAGTGTGCAAAGCGAACTCAGCGCAAGAACGAAGCCGGAGGACAAGAGGAGAATGGTGAACTTGGGAGGCTTTGCAGTCCACTCTACACTGGCGCGCTCCATTGTAGACAGATCAACCACGATAATCTGCTCGTTCGGTGAGCCGGACGAGTTATCTGGTCGAGATATGGGAGGCGCTTGGGTGGCAACTACAGCGCATGCGCCCCAATGGCAATGTGACCGCGCCATATGACCGCCTCCCATGCGGACCGACGCAATTGCGCATCGAAGGAAATGTCACGGCATGGACCTCCTCGCAGCACTATCGGCTAGGTACATATGCCTCCCATTGCTGTCTGATCCTCTAGCCCTTTAGTAGAGAGAACGTGAGCCTCGAAAAGAGCAGCACAGATGAAAGTTGTATCAATGTGAGAATTCACACGGCAGATGCAGGCGGGTCCTATTCTAGCGTTCTCGCGGTTTTTGCCATTGTTATTCATCCCAGCACATACTGACTCCTCTACCTTGACTGCTTATGAGCTGCCTTTTCATCGTAAATTCACACCTTGATCATGTTATAAACGGTCTAAACAATTGTTAATTCGACTTGAAATATTGGAAAGATTCTTGCTTCCCACTTTCAGAAGCTATCGAAAAAGGTTTTGGATTTTGTCAAGACAAATCAGTTCGAGACTCAGCTCGCCACGGATATGATCTCCTCGTTGATCGCACAGATGACCTATGTGAGTAAATAATTTAATAAACTTGAAACATAAATACGAGCCCCTAAAACCTGCTAAGCCCAGAACATTCGCCGAGAGGATATGGGCGTTCACTTAACCAGTCGAAAGGCTTTCATTCACGAAGGTCGCCTTCTCTAGCGCTTAATATGGAGCCCCTTCACTTGTAAAAGCGTCGCAATCTTCGAATTTCCGATCGACATTTCCCCACTGAATGATTGAATGTTATGCTTTCGAAGTTATTATTTGTAGCAACAAAATATAAAAAGGATAAAGCATTTGCCGTTGATCAATCCCTTTTTGGGATGCGGCACGCATTCTACTTCCATTTGTACATTCGTAGTGGCGTTTGAATGCGATGTGGCCTATACAATGACTTGCGGGGGCCAGCCGATGTACAAGTCAGTGTTTTTATCCTCCCAGACAAGTCTGGTACCAATTAACCGACCCCGGAGGGATGGAAGGCTTGGTTGGCCCGGGCGACTCACGACCCAGGATTTGATCCCGGACCGCTCGCGTGGTGAGCGCGCCACTTGTCACTACACCACTTCCGCCCTTGCAACAGAAAACATAAACAGAACATATCATAATTCCGACAAAACTCGGAGACAAAATGAAAAAGAATAAGAGCCAATCAAGAATAAGCCAGTTATGGTAAGAATAAACCAAAAAATCACAGGCCTCACCCAGCTTCTGGCTTCCTTTTGCGGAACATGTGTTGAAGAATTTGCGAGAATACTTCCGGTTGAGGTTTGGGATTGTATACTGACGTGACAATCTTTTGTCCTCGAACAATAAATACTTATCGATACAAGGTAAGATCAACTTCGCATAGTGATCATTTACAGGGTGCGCCAAAATTACGGAGACAACGCATGAGCAAACAATTTGAACTGATATTCACAGATGCTGTTTTCTTCTGTCCTAGTTTTGGTACTGTGGTGTAGAATTGTTTATGCTTACCTTGTTCAACCACCAAAATCTATGGTAGCTGCAGCGGTTGACTGATACTGACACCGTCCCTAAATCATTGGACTTCGACGTTGAGGGTTTTTGGCACGCGACAATTATCATCGTTTTGGTGTATACCCGAGCACTATCAATAGATGCTCCAAGTAGTACAGGGGACAAGGAGCTGAATGCAGTCATTCTGGATGAGAAGGGCGTGTTTCTGTGGCGACCACGAACAATCTAAGGATTGTGTGCGATAGAATTTGCAGGTAGTTGACGCGCTGGTTTCACTGGATGTCACGAGAGATAGGAATCAGGGGGCTCTTTTGGACTTATCAGAGCCCATTGCTATCCTGAGTTTATTTTCACTTTGAAAATCGTTGCTGGGCCTTCCATCAAGTAGGAGCTCCCGTTTACGAGGCAAGGGTGGTTCAGTACTAGTGCAGCATTGATGCAGAACCGATTTTTTCGACTTTGTCGGCTTAGACGGTGGTAGAACAGCATTTCAGATCTGAGCTCGATAGGTACGCTGTCGGATCCGTTCTAGAAGCTGAGGCTTGCATAAAACACATTATGTCCAGGGTTTCGTTGAAGAAACCGCTCTAAAATGAGCTTGACGAGTCCTACTCGCCACATTGCGTGCCACAGTCGATGGTTCCTCGATGTTTCTGAGGACCCGTATAAACACAAACCAAGGAATTTCAAAAATTGCATGGATGTCGACGATTCAGAATGGGACTGTGCACGTCACTGCATTTTTGTTTTCAAAGAATTGCACCTTGCTCATCCTAGGCAACTCGAAGTCGCTGTCTCCGTAATTTTGGCGCACCCTGTAAATTAGTTGGAACTACGGCGCGCCTTTTGGTATGCCTTCGATCAGCGGAATTCTGCACTACCCCTGCGATTGTGCGACCATAAGCGTAGAGGGCGGTCCACGAGTCTTCAGTGCGTGCAACAGTTTGAGGGGGGGGGGGTCATCAAGGAAGTGAATGGGCCAGTAAAACCGGTAGCCATGCGGGGAAGAAACAAAGGGAGTTACAAAGAAACTACTTGGGTTTGAAATGAAAAAATAGCCCTGTTTCCAAAGTGATTATGATGTTTGTCATATCTAATTCATCATTTTGGAGGTAGGGGCAGGGTCAACCCTATGTTGCTACAAGTAGCAACGGGGGGTCGTATTTTGGCAAGTTTAGAGGAGGGGGTCGTACTTGCTTCGGTTGTAAGAAGTTGCATGTGATGAGTGGAAGCGGCGCTCCCCCCCCCCTTCCCCCCCTAAAAGAATGGAGTAAGATGAAATTAGGGTTGAAATGTTCATGGGTAAATTGTAGGGGAAATGTAGGGAATCTTTGCGGTTTCACGATAATTTTTTTTTGGGGTAGAATATTGTTTTGAAAGAGGGGGTAGTATGAAACATTTCATGAGGGAGGGGGGTCGTAAAAACCTTTTGAAAAGTAGCAACGATAGGACCGACCCTGTGTAGAGGGCATGTGGTCAACACTTCATATCGCTCAAAATAAGCAATTTTTCGCAAACGACAGAATCTCCGGGATGACTGTAAAATCGAAAGCGGAATGGTTAACGCACCTCGCGGATTTCCTCCACCTAAAAAATGGAATTTATGTAGGCGGCAGGCCAATGACGCGCCGATGTATACTTCGGCATTCAGCGATTCGATTAGTTGAATCGCAGGATACGAGCGTTGCTCAGCGAATCGAGCTGTGTACCAACAAATCGTACCATCTGCCAGGGGACTGAACGACGCGCCAGAGGATCGAACGATGTACTAGCGACTCGGACACTGTTGGAAAGGCTGCGGATTCCTCTGGTTTATGACGTTCAACATCGTCGCCAGCTGGTAGAAAACTGCGTCACTTAGAAGTTTTCTATATGTAGTGTATTATTTAGACCCACATCCAGAACAATTCCGTATCGCTGGATTCGCAAAGTCTGACATCGGCCAGCACATTTCCTCCCCTTGATTTGAACGCGAAAGGTGAGGGGGGTTCCAAAAAAAACGACCTCTCTCGTTGAGAACTGCGCAACACATGATTGTTCTTAAATATGCACTGCATGAAGCTGAACTATTGCTAACTAGATTTAGCGAAAACTGTTTTCTAGCTGAAGCGAAAGCAGCAGAGGATATTGAGTCAAGAACTCAGTGGTTTGTTTCATTGGCTGGATCGCTGCTGTCCACTACTAACGAGGTATCGAAGAAAACTAGTCATCTCAGAACCTTTCTATGTAGTCAGTGTGTTTAGACCTACATCCAGAACAGGGACATTTGCTTTGAAATGATCGGATTACTACTGGAGTGCAAAAGCAAAGTCGCCTACATTGTAAGCAATCTCCGACAATTTTCAATCTCGGTGCTCAGCTGATATGATCTGCTTTTACAGAGCGGTTCTATTGGATTGTGGTACATGCTATACATGCTCTCACGTATCTACCCAGAAAACACTCGTTATATTGCTGATCGACTCGAACGACCACTAAAAGACTGGGTTCCTACTCGAGTAAGGCTGTTATGTCTAGATTCACTGTCTGCATTCCGCGTGCCACATGTGCAACGCCATTTGCTGAACAATGAATGTGTCGGAGCTAAATACCGGCTCATCGCGACAGAGTTGTGCAGTGCGTTCTTCTTGCGTCATCTTTAGGTATGGCCGCGGTCACGCTGGCCCTTTTGAGAGCACCCTTTAGAGAATCCATCACGACTTTTGCAGATCTTAATTTCCAGAATCTACCGCACATTTACTTGTGTCGTTGAGGAACCACTTGCTGAACCCAGTGAGATCCAGATCCTGCAGTTGGAACCTTCTTGGTAATGTGGGAAGTGCTAACTCTTGTTGACCGCACAAGGGGTGTAGATGAAATTTCTAGGTGATGGGCGCGGGGGATGTATTTTAGGTCTTTGTGCACTGTGAAGTGGTGAAAAGAGGTGTATTCGAGACGGAAGAAGACGTCGTTGCGACGGAGGTTAAGGGGTTGTGTCGTAATGGAGGGGAAGAAAGAAATCGTTTTCAATGGTTTTCCCACAAAAGTCACTCGGAATGGAGTTCTCCAGTTAGGCGGAAGCTTCCGAAGAAGTTTTCGTGGAGTGTGTATCGATCAGTCTCAGAATCAATTGTTATAGAGACAGCCATGTTAGTGATGGTGGAGGAGGTGGAAGGAGAGGGGAGTCGTTGGCGTACCCCCTCCCACTGGTAGTGGTAGGACGAGGGCCGTGTCGTGACTACCAGGACGGGGCGGTGTTATGAAAATCTTGCATAGGCACAGCTTCAGTTTTAGAAAGCTGTGAAGCTGTACATCGGTAAACCGCTGGAATAAAATATGCAGCAGCTTCAGAATATGGCGAATACTGTAGACCTCCCTTTTCCTTCAGTTGGACGGCGATGGTAAATGACGTCATATTCTGAGGACGATGAGGACTGTGAAGGAGGGCCTGTTCCTGTTCCATAGAGGGACACCCAAGGAATATTTTATCGTGAAACCTCATCAACGGCTGCTTTGCGACGGAAAGTTCGCGAATTCCAGGCATGGGCAACGCAAC